GTTTGGACTGGGTTGGACTGGGTTATACTGGTTTGGCTGGGTTATACTGGTTTAGACTGGTCTGAACTGGTTTGGACTGGTTTGGACTGGTTTGGACTGGTTTATACTGGTTTATACTTGGTTATACTGTGATATACTGGGTTATACTGCTTTAGACCAGTTTGGACTGGGTTATACTGATTTAGACTGGTTTATACTGGGTTTTACTGGTTTATACTGGTTTAGACTGGTTTATACTGGGTTTTACAGGTTTATACTGGTTTGGACTGGTTTAAACTGGTTTAGACTGGTCTGAAGTGGTTTGGACTGGTTTGGACTGGTTTAGACTGGTTTATACTGGGTTTTACTGTTTATACTGGTTTAGAGTGGTTTGGACTGGGTTGGACTGGGTTATACTGGGTTGGACTGGGTTGGGCTGGTTTGGACTGGTTTGGACTGGTTAGACTGGTTTAAACTGGTTTGGACTGGTTTGGACTGGGTTATACTGGTTTATACTGGGTTATACTGGTTTATACTGGGTTATACTGGTTTATACTGGTTTAGACTGGTTTAGACTGGTTAGACTGGGTTATACTAGTTTGAAGTGGTTTGAACTGGTTTGTACTGGTTTGGACTGGTTTGACTAGGTTATACTGGTTCAGACTGGTTCATACTGGTCTATACTGGTCTATACTGGTTTATACTGGTCTGAACTGGTTTAGGGCTTGGGACGGCTCACTGGTTTATCCTGGGACAAACGGGTTTATACTGGTTTATACCGGGATGGACTGGGACGACCCCGCCCCCTCCCCTCCCCCATCCCAACCCCCCCCACAGCGCCCCCTGCTGGCCGGGAGGAGCCGATTTTGGCGGGAAATCCGATTTTGGCGGGAATTCCACCGGTTTTGGCGGGAAATCCGATTTTGGCGGGAATTCCACCGGTTTTGGCGGGAAATCCGATTTTGGCGGGAATTCCACCGGTTTTGGCGGGAAATCCGATTTTGGCGGGAAAATCGCCGCTTTTGGCGGGAAATCCAGCAATTTCAGCAGGAATCCCGATTTTGGCGGGAATTCAGCAGACTTTGGCGGGAATTTGGCGGGAAATTCGCACATTTTTGGCGGGAATTTTGATTTTGCCGGGAAATCCGCCGATTTCGGCGGGAATTGCGACAATTTCGGCGGGAATTCAGCCGATTTGGCGGGAATCCTGACGATTTTGGCGGGAAATCCGCCGATTTGGGGGGGAATTCCGCCGATTTTGCCTGGAATTTGGCGGGAAATCGGATTTTGCCGGGAATTGCGCCGATTTTGGCGGGAAATCTGCCGGTTTTTTGGCGGGAAATCGGATTTTGCCGGGAATTCCGCCGGTTTTGGTGGGAAATCGGATTTTGCCGGGAATTCCGCCGGTTTTGGCGGGAAATCGGATTTTGCCGGGAATTCCGCCGGTTTTGGCGGAAATTCGGCCGGTTTTGGTGGGAATTTTGATTTTGGCGGGAATTCCGCCGATTTTGCCGGGAATTCCGCCGGTTTTGGCGGGAAATCCGCCGATTTGGGGGGGGAATTCCGCCGATTTTGCCTGGAATTTGGCGGGAGATCGGATTTTGGCGGGAATTGCGCCGATTTTGGCGGGAAATGCGCCGTTTTTTTGGCGGGAACTCGGGGGGAAGCCCGGGAATGCTCACCTTCGTCGGGGCCCATGAAGGCTCCGCGGGGGGCGGGGGGCACCCCCCAGACCTCGATGCTTTTGGGGTACTCGGGGTCCACGGCCCCCAGGGCCTCGTTGAAGCGGTAATACCTGGGGGGGGAGGGGAGGGGAGGGGAAGTCGGGGGATTTTGGGGGGAGATTTGGGGGTTTCGGGGAAATTTGGGGGATTTTGGGGGAAATTTTGGGAGGAAATTTGGGAATTTCAGGGGATTTTGGGGGAAATTTGGGGGTTTTGGGGGATTTTGGGAGGAAATTTTGGGGATTTTGGGAGGAAATTTGGGAATTTGGGGGGATTTTGGGAGGAAATTTGGGAATTTTGGGGGATTTTGGGGAGAATTTGGGGGTTTTGGGAGAAAATTTTGGGATTTGGGGAGGGAATTTTGGGGATTTTGGGGGATTTTGGGAGGAAATTTGGGAATTTCGGGGGATTTTGGGGGGAGATTTGGGGATTTGGGGAGGGAATTTGGGAAATTTGGGGGTTTTGGGGGAAATTTTGGGGATTTTGGGGGATTTTGGGAGGAAATTTGGGAATTTGGGGGATTTTGGGGGAATTTGGGGGATTTTGGGGGGAATTTGGGGAGATTTGGGAATTTTGGGAGGGAATTTTGGAATTTGGGGGTTTTGGGAGAAAATTTGGGAATTTTGAGAGGAAATTTCGGGATTTTGGGGAATTTGGGAGGAATTTTGGGGGAAATTCTGGGATTTCAGGGGATTTGGGGGGATTTTGGGAGGAATTTTGGGGATTTTGGGGGGAAATTTGGGAATTTGGGGAGGAAATTTGGGAGTTTTGGGGGATTTTGGGGAAGATTTGGGGGGGGGTTGAAGGATTTGGGGGGGTTTTGGGGTCCTGAAAGGTTCAGAGAAGGTTCTGGAAGGTCCCAAAAAAGCCCAGAAAGTCCCAAAAGAGCCCAGACAGGTCCTGGAAGGTGCATAGAAAAACCCCAAAAATGGGGGGAAAAAAATTCCCAGAAATTCCCAGAAGGTCCCGGAAGGTTCCAGAAGGTCCTGGAAGGTCAAAGAAAAGCCACAGAAAGTCCCAAAATGGCCCAGAAAATCCCGAAAAGGGTGAGGCAGGTCCTGGCAGGTGCATAGAAAAACCCCAAAAATGGGGGGAGAAAAATTCCCAGAAATTCCCAGAAATTCCAGGGAGGTTCCAGAAGGTTCCGGAAGGTCCTGGAAGGTTCAGAGAAGCTTCTAGAAGGTGAAGAAAAAGCCCAGAAAATCCCGAGGAAGTCCAGACAGGTCCTGGCAGGTGCATAGAAAAACCCCAAAAATGGGAGAAAAATTCCCAGAAATTCCAGGGAGGTTCCAGAAGGTTCCGGAAGGTCCTGGAAGGTTCAGAGAAGCTTCTAGAAGGTGAAGAAAAAGCCCAGAAAATCCCGAGGAAGTCCAGACAGGTCCTGGCAGGTGCATAGAAAAACCCCAAAAATGGGAGAAAAATTCCCAGAAATTCCAGGGAGGTTCCAGAAGGTTCCGGAAGGTCCTGGAAGGTTCAGAGAAGCTTCTAGAAGGTGAAGAAAAAGCCCAGAAAATCCCGAGGAAGTCCAGACAGGTCCTGGCAGGTGCATAGAAAAACCCCAAAAATGGGAGAAAAATTCCCAGAAATTCCAGGGAGGTTCCAGAAGGTTCCGGAAGGTTCCAGAAGGCCCTGGAAGGTTCAGAGAAGCTTCTAGAAGGGGAAGAAAAAGCCCAGAAAATCCCAAGGAAGTCCAGACAGGTCCTGGCAGGTGCATAGAAAAACCCCAAAAATGGGGGAGAAAAAATCCCAGAAAATTCCCAGAAATTCCAGGGAGGTTCCGGAAGGTTCCGGAAGGTCCTGGAAGGTTCAGAGAAGCTTCTAGAAGGTGAAGAAAGAGCCAGAAGGTCCCAGAAAGACCCAGAAAAGTCCCCAATAAGGTGAGACAGGTCCTGGAAGATGCATAGAAAACACCAAAAATGGGGGAGAAAAATTCCCAGAAAATTCCCAGAAATTCCAGGGAGGTTCCAGAAGGTTCCGGAAGGTCCTGGAAGGTTCAGAGAAGCTTCTAGAAGGTGAAGGAAAAGCCACAAAGTGCCCCCCAAAAAAAGCCCAGAAAATCCCAAAAAGAGCCCAGACAGGTCCTGGCAGGTGCATAAAAAAACACCAATAATGGGAGAAAAATTCCCAGAAAATTCCCAGAAATTCCAGGGACGTTCCAGAAGGTTCCGGAAGGTCCTGGAAGGTTCACAGAAGCTTCTAGAAGGGGAAGAAAAAGCCCAGAAAATCCCGAGGAAGTCCAGACAGGTCCTGGCAGGTGCATAGAAAAACCCCAAAAATGGGGGAGAAAAAAATCCCAGAAATTCCCAGAAATTCCCAGAAATTCCCAGAAATTCCCAGAAATTCCCAGAAGGTCCCGGAAGGTTCCAGAAGGTCCTGGAAGGTCAAAGAAAAGCCACAGAAAGTCCCAAAATGGCCCAGAAAATCCCGAAAAGGGTGAAGCAGGTCCTGGCAGGTGCATAGAAAAACCCCAAAAATGGGGGAGAAAAAATCCCAGAAATTCCCAGAAATTCCAGGGAGGTTCCGGAAGGTTCCGGAAGGTTCCCGAGGACGCACTTGTCGCCCCGGAAGAGGTAGGTGTGTCCGCTGGGCAGCCAGAGCAGCGCGGCGTCCAGCCGGTCGCCGGGGACGCCGCGGCCGAGCTCGGCCAAGGGCCGGGGGTAGCCGGGGGCCAGGAGCCCCTCCTGGAACAGCCAGTGCCGGGAGCCTGGTTTGGGGTGAAAACGGCCGGAATCGGGAAAAGGAACCAGGGGAAAAACGGAAAAATAAAGTCGCCTGAAATTAGCAGGAAATTCAGCCCAAAAAAACCCCGAAATTCAGCCAAAAAACCCCCAAAATTCACCAAAAATTCACCCGAAATTCACACAAAATTCACCCAAAAAACCCCCAAAATTCACCCAAAATTCACCCAAAATTCACCCAAAATTCACCCAAAAAAACCCCAAAATTCGCCCAAAATTCACCCAAAATTCACCCAAAAAAACCCCAAAATTCACCCAAAATTCACCCAAAAAAACCCCCAAAATTCACCCAAAATTCGCCCAAAATTCAGCCAAAATTCACCCAAAAAAACCCCCAAATTCACCAAAAATTCACCCAAAAAAACCCCCAAAATTCACCCAAAAAACCCCCAAAATTCACCAAAAATTCAGCCAAAATTCAGCCAAAATTCACCCAAAAAAACCCCAAAATTCACCCAAAAAAACCCCAAAATTCACCCAAAAAAACCCCAAAATTCACCCAAAAAAACCCCAAAATTCACCCAAAATTCACCCAAAATTCACCCAAAATTGGCCCAAAATTGGCCCGAAATTCAAACGAAATTCACCAAAAATTCAACCCAAAATTCACCCAAAATTCAACCAAAATTCACCAAAAATTCAACCCAAAATTCACCCAAAATTCACCTGAAATTCACCAAAAATTCAACCCAAAATTCACCCAAAATTCACCCGAAATTGAACCAAAATTCACCCAAAATTCAACCAAAATTCACCCAAAATTCACCCAAAAAAATCCCAAAATTCACCCAAAATTCACCCCAAAATTCACCCAAAAAACCCCAAAATTCACCCAAAATTCAACCGAAATTCAACCGAAATTCACCCAAAATTCACCCCAAATTCACCTGAAATTCACCCGAAATTCAGCCAAAATTCAACCCAAAATTGGCCCAAAATTCACTCAAAGGTCCCCCAGAAATGGCACAAAATTCACCCAAAATTCGACCAAAATTGGCCCAATATTTCCCAATAAATCCCAATAAAATCCCAATAAA